AGAGGGGATACCTCATGTTAAATGTTCTTACCACAATAAAATAAAAATTGGTGCTTCACTTGACCAGCCTTAAAAAAAAATAAATAAATAAAAATAAGTGAATATTATTAGTGACATCTCAATTAATTTAAAAATGTAGATTGAAATTACCAGTTCCTAGAAAAATATACCTTAGTAAAAATGACACCAGAGAAAAGTGGAAAATATAATAGTACTATAACTATTGAGTAAATAGAATTAATGATTTAAAACCTTTACAGACACACATAAACACAAACTTCCAGGTATAGGTGGCCTTGCCTATCTTGTCACTTAGCCAGTGTTTAAGTGTTTAGCAGGGTTGATGGTAGATCTCAGTGCTGTGTATTCGTTTTTGGTTCTCTGTGCTGGGAAGTGAAGTCGGCTTGCCTCTATGCCACCCTTTTGGAACTGTAAATTGAGTAGATCTGCTGTCCCCAGCCCCTGGCCACAGACCGGTATTGGTCCGTGGCCTGTTAGGAACCAGGCTGCACTACAGGGGCGAGCGGCAGGGCAAGCAAGTGAAGCTTCGAAGCTTCATCTGTATTTACAGCCGCTCCCCATCACTGGCATCACCACATAAGCTCTGCTTCCTGTCAGATCAGCAGCCGGCATTAGATTCCCATAGGAATGGGAACCCTACTATAAACTGCGCATGAAGACAGGGACCCAATTCCAGCCAACTCTCAGACTACATAGTGCATTTCCTGAATCAGAATTTATTCAGTAATCCTTTAAGTCACTTATAAGGAGTGGTCAGTATGTAGGCTGTCTTGTACTTAGTGTTTTATATAGGGACATAAATGAAACCACTTGTATTTTCACTCATTGTTTATGAACCAGGGATTTTCATCAACTCCAGGTCACTGTGGTAGTGATGATATCCTTTGAAAACCTGCTCCACTCATCCTTTCTCAGGATGTGCTCTCTGGGTTTGAAATTCGTGGCAAATACATAGGAAACTAAGACAAAGGAAAAACAAATAACCCAGGGTGAAGTGGAGGGGGAATGTTGAACAGAAAAGGAAACTTATTTATGATACATAACTCAGCTGTGAACAGCATTTTACATAGTCCTAATAGAAACATTAAATAACGATGTAACCAAACGGTATGTAACTACGTTGGGAGACTGAGGACTAGGAAGTGTATGTGTTGGGACAGGGTAGGAGTGAAATAAATCTTCATATTCTGTAGTAGAAAGTCAATATGTGATACCTAGAAATAGAACAAAAATCAGGAAGTAAATATACAAACATAGGACTTAGAATTATGATGGTACATACCAAAGGAAACAGGTGAAGGAATTGAAAGTGGTTGCTTTATGGGAAGGGAGAAATGGCAGAGAAATGAGGGGACAGCTGAGTTTTTTTTAAAACAAGCTTTGGAGAGTTGTTTGATTCTTTAAGCTATGTATATGTATAACTTTGATCAAACTGAAAACTAACGATATAAAAAATTGCTCTGGTAATTTTGACCTCTCTACACACATCCCACCCCCATGAGGGTTACTGTTCCCATCTAGTGCTTCTCAAACTTGCTAGGGTTGGAGAGGAGGGAAATGGGGAAGGAGTTTACTCTTTCTGACCTTTAGAATACCCTTTCTCATTCTTCAGATCTGAAGAGAGAGCTTCTCTTGGGGCTCTGCCTTTGTGCATCCAGTGTACACTTCCAATTTGTGGATTACTTTTGAGCGTGGCCTGACTAAAGGAAGGAAAAACCTTGGAAGGGAGCCCCTTCCCTAGGGTTGGGATTCAGACCTCAATGGAGAGGGTCTGATTTGCAGCTTACTGGATGGATAGTGAAAAAGTATGCTGGTTACTCCTGGCCAGACTTGGTGCACAGTACTTCTTGGAGTGCGGACTGGTAGGCAGGCCTAACAAGCAGGAAATACACTTTGGCTTGCATTTGGGTGGGAAATCAGAGCCAGAATTGGCAAACAGGAGCCATTTTTCTATGGTGCAGGTAGCCAAACCTGGGTAGCCAACTGCTGGGGTACCTGGGAGACTCACTAAGAATCTGCCTGTGGGAGTGCTGTTGAAATTCAGTGGGTAAATGCTCTGGGTGTCCTCCACACTCCACTGGCAGCCATGCAGTAGGAGGGAGAAGAAAACAAATGGAACACACCAGAACCAGGAAGGGAAGTTTCTTCCTCGTGCGGTGTCTCTCCAGCACCCTCTACTGGCAAAGCTTATGTATGCATTATGCCTGCTGCAAAGGAGAAATGCTGAATAGGGGCCAGCTCCATTTTCACAGAGCAGGTAATGAAAGGTATATTTGGAGCTAAGAGGCAATAAATTAATAATGAGCACACAACATGACAGTGATGAGTCACTTTTGATAACTGAGGTAATACATGTTTGTGGATTCCTGTGTTTTTAAAATTCTCGGGGTTTTTGTTTGATTGATTTTTGGGACAGAGTCTTGCTCTATCGCCCAGGCTAGAGCGCAGTGGCATCATCATAGCTCACTGCAACCTCAGACTCCTGGGCTCAAGCCATCCTCCTGCCTTAGCCTCCCCAGTAGCTGGACTACAGGTGCGGCTAATTTTTGTATTTTTAGTAGAGAGAAGGTCTTCTTCTTGCTCAGACTAGTCTCAAACTCCTGACCTCAAGTAGTAAACATCAATAGCTACAACCCACAAAAGCTCTTTGGGGTGCTTTAAGAGGGGTTATAAGTAAAAAAGTTTGAGAACTACTGCTTTACATTATTCTCTTTAAATAAAGTTCAAAAAACAGGTAAAACTCATCTGTAATGCTCGAAGTCTAATAGAGTGGTTACCTTGAGAGGGGGCGCAAAGGAGCCCCTGGGGTGTTGGGAATACTCTTCATCTGGATGCTGACAATTTGATGCATTCACTTCATGGAAATTCATTCAGCTATATGTTTACAATTTGTCAACTTTTGTATGTAAATATTTCAATAAAAAATTTAAGACTGCCCTCTCTTCCTAAGTCAAACCTTGCTGTTAGACCTGTACGTAACCTTTTTCAGTTAGCGTAAATGTGCACTGGCTAGTTTTCATAACTGAGGGTAAAAGACTCGGTTGGGACAGGTGGAAGAAAGCTGCTTCCTAAATATTGGCTGTGGCCTTTCTGCTCATCCGCAGCCCTGTGTCCTACGGACCCCCACCTAACCCCCATGGACAGGTGGTTTCGTGATTGAAAAATCTTAGCTAGAATGCTGAGAGGCTCTTTGATTCCTCTCAAGTGCTTTATGGCTCTCCAGGGAGGGTGTGGGTGGGTGTGTGTGTGTGCGCGCACGTTCGTATCTGTTCTGAGCTTAGTTATGATTTTTCCATATTTTCTCTATATTTTCTGATTTGCTTTGAGAGAATATTATCCTTTATGAATTTGTTACATTCTCTGAATGATTAACTGTTTGATTTAGGAATTTCCTTTTTGTCTGTTCTTCTGGATCCTAATATTTGCTTCTCTCATTTTCCATCCCCTTTATTTCAAGTGTTCTTATGGTCTGTCTTCCTTTTCATACAGTTTTAGAATTTAATTCTTCAATATATCATCCAAGAATCTGGTTTATCACTTCTTTTCCACAGGACCTGCTGTCTCCAGGTTTTTCTGTCTTCCTTGCTACTTCCTGGCCACGGGCATGGCTGTCAGTACTGTTCGCACACTGTACATTTTGCCTAATCCTTTTCTATTCTCACTTGATTTTATTGTTTTTGTTGTTTTCGTAAGCTTGCAGCTACACAGTCACCCTGGCTGTTTTCTGCTTCCCAATTCTACTATAACAAGTAGGATTAACTTAGAAAAAGGGTTTGTATATAACATAATATTCAACTAAATAATATAAGAAGCTCTTTCTTTGTCCCCCTTTTACCCATACACGGGCCATTTCTGACTTCAAAGTCTGGTTCCAGTAGCCTGTGAGTCAGGCATTCAGGATGCATCCTCCCATAAAAACAGTGTCTTGGCTTGCCCACCTAGGATGTACCTGAAGCTTACCACTAATTATATAGATAAATAACCTAGCCACCACTTATAACATTTATAACAGAGTTTTGATGGGAAACTATTTTCAGAAATATTATTAGGAATGATTAAGGTCACATTTTTTTTTCCTGTAGCCTAGGCAACTAACTAGTCTTTTGGGCCCCACCTCTGACTCAGACACTCAGACTCAGTGGGAAGGAGCTGCAGAGAGGGAGGCAGCCTGTGTGGGCCTTCTTGTGGTTCTTGGAGCAAGCTTAGGGTGAGAGGGGAGTGGCCCATGAGGTGGAAATGAGGCTGTGGTCTTGTGGATCGTTGGATGGGTAGTGAGGTTACTGGTAACAGGAGATGGAGACTCTGTGTGAAAGGGGGTCTTGGGAGTGGTAGAGAGGATAGGAGGGGCTGCAGTGGGATATAAGGAAGGACAATGGAAGCTGTGAGTTTAACCTTTTTTCCTGGGAGAGAAGGGACAAGGGCTACAGCGACCTCTCCTTCCATTTCTCCCTCTTATGATCCCTTTACCTTATCATCTTTTTTCCTTCTCTTTTCCTTGTTTTTCAGCTGCCAACCAGCAGCCCTAGGGTAGAGTGTTCAGTAACAAGGGTGTAGCAGCTTCGGAAGAAGGGTTTTTTTGATGTTTTGTTGGTACCTGTCAATAGTGGGTGTAATCTCCTATGGACAGGTGATTACAGTGAGCCTGGAGAGCACAGGGTTTGGGAGCTTGAGAGAGAGTAAGAAAAGGAAGAAAGTGGAGGCTGGAGCAGCTGTTACAATGGAAATATCTACGAGAGTTACGGATGCGCTGCTTTAGGGGGCTTATGTTGTAAAACACATCCCCCGATCTGGTTACTTACTGCTGTTACCGTTCTCTAATTGTCTGTTGTCTGGGAGTTTCATCTAGCTAACAAGGTTGAAAGAAGAGACCATGTTGCCTAACAAAGTGCTAGAAACCTACAACTAATACATTGATTTTGGGTGTGTTTGGTCTTTCTGATGATTGCATGTTCAGGCATAAATAGGCTTTACTAAGCGAGATGCATGTTGATATTTACCGATGGGGGCAGCAGCAGCAGGAGTCCAGTCAGCAGGACCTGGGCTGTGGAGTCCTCGCTCTGGCCCTGCTGCCTCCTTGCTGTCTCTGTGCTCAGTTGCTCCTCTGTGAAACGTGGCTCCGAGTATCTGCCTTACTGAATGACTAGGAAGATTAAGAGCCTGATACCTAATAGATACTCAGTAAATATTATTTCTCTTCCTTGTTTAGGTTATTACACTGAGTAAACTCCAGTGGTTCTGATTTTTTGTCTAATTGGATTCTTAAAATACATTCAGTCTGATAGTGATAATATAACCTTAGTTCATTCTCTATTAAATCAATTGAAAACATTCATCAGGAACAGGTGCCTCATTTTAAGAATATAAATGACATCTTCAAAATAATTTTAATATAAATATGTAACTTTAAATAGATACTATTTATTAAACTTGTAACATTAACCAAAACTTAAATATTTGAAAAGGTACCAGGAGTCCCACCACTAGAGCAAACTGCTTTTATTGTTCTGTCACCCCCTTCTAGTCCGGATTCATTTATTATGCAATCTTAACAGTCACTTTTTATAAAGGCATTTGCTTTGTCTCTAGGTGTAAAACAAAGGTGTATCCAGATAATCTTCCTACAACAAGTGTGGTGATTGTTTTCCACAATGAGGCTTGGAGCACACTTCTGCGAACTGTCCATAGTGTCATTAATCGCTCTCCAAGACACATGATAGAAGAAATTGTTCTAGTAGATGATGCCAGTGAAAGAGGTAAATTTTAAATTTTAATGCCAATCATATGCTACACCTTTTGTCACTAATGGTTAAAAAACTAGTTGCTATAATTTTTAACCTAATAACTTTATACAGACTTCTAATTTATCCCAAAAATATTTATGACATTTGGACTCATTCGCATATGGAAAAAAGTACACCCTTGTGAAACTTAAAGCATTACTTTAATTAACATTTAATTTATGTTGCATCTTAATCTTGTTTTAAAAAGAAATAATACTATATAATGTAAACAGTTATGCAGAATAGTGATGAAACCCACATCATTTTGTTAGGATTTCCTCTGTGGGAAGTAGTAGCCCTAGGTTGATAGAGAGAGACTGGAGCCTGCTTACAACCGTGAATGGAGAAATTTAGTTCCATGCGTGGTGGGAAGTATCTTTGACAGCAAAGTGGCGCCTTACCTGGGTGAGCCTGCCTTCTCCAGAGTTGTCTTAGGTTTCCCTCTTTTGTCCATTTCTAAGTTTCAGGAATGATCTCTAACTAGGTGCATCCAAAGATCAGGAAGGATGAAAAGGTGATACATATTAATAATATGATTCTCATCTCATGATAAATCTCTACAGTGACTCTGGCCCAAATATCCTAAAAGAATCTCAGAATTTTTCACAAGCCTAGAATCTCCCAACTTGTTTTATGAAATACTCTTTTGGGAAAGGATATAGTAATTAAAGGTGCCTTGACCAACATTATTTATTCTGAATCCTTCCTAGAGATTTCACACTGCGAAGTGCTATGTAGAAAAGGCTCTGCTTAGTCCGTCAGTAAAGAAACTTGTTAAACTCAGATGCCCAATATTTCCCAGCTTTCTTATTCACAGCATGTCTAGTTATGAATCATTGGTGGTGTGTGTTCTCCCAGTGTTCCTATGTCCACATGAGAAAAATTTGGAAGGAGTCAAGAAAATAGTTCCCTACTGCGTTTCCTTCCATTACTTAAACTTCATGATGCATCATTTTTTTAGAACCTTCAACTTTCTTGCCTGTTCTCTCATTGCATCTGCTAAGATGATTTAGTCAAGCATTACACCTTCTCTTTCCTACGCCCCCCAACTAAATATGTGCATTTAACAGTAATTGAGTTTATTCACATCATATATTGATTATTGGGAGTCATTTATGTATTAATAACAATTTAAGTCTTGCTATTTTGCCAGATTGTACTGGTGCAAATGAAGAATAAGTTATACTCCTACCTTCTCAAGCACCTTGTATCTTACCTCCTTAATCTAATGAAAGAGACAGTTTATAATCACACAAGAAATTTAAATAATATAATACATAGTATAATTAAATGTCAAAATGAATGAGAGCTGTTATAAATTAAGAACGCCACATTTAAAAGGAAATAATTACTGTTGGCAATAGAAATGTAAACCTCACATGGATAATTTGTTTGCTTAGGAGTTAATCTGTCTGTAGGAAAATTAACCAAAGTTAATATAAGGAACAATATATGCAAACATTTGGCGAGGGGCAGTGGCTCACACCTGTAATCCTAGCACACTGGGAGGCTGTGGTGGGAGGATTGCTCGAGCTCAGGAGTTCAAGACCAGCCTGAATAAGAGCAAGACCCCGTCTCTACTAAAAATGGAAAGAAATTAGCTGAACAACTAAAAATA